TCGAAAATGTGTACGTGTATTCGAAATTTCTCTTTCAACCAAAGTATCGATATTTGGAAAAACTACTCGAATCGATAAATGATATCGGTTACTACGTACACATTTTCCAACAATCGTGACGTCTTACCACCGAAGGAGGCACTTCCCAATTCAATATTCGTATTCGATGATGTGGCTTGTGATAATCAGAATACTATTAGAGAATATTTTTTTATGGGTCGACATACGAACATTGATTGTATTTATCTCTGTCAAACGTATGCAAAAATACCGTAACATTTGATACGCGATAATGCAAATTTTTTGATTCTATTCAAACAAGATGGTACTAACTTAAAACACATTTAACGATCACGTGAACACTGATATATCGTATAAGAATTTTTGCACGTTGTGTCATTTATGCTGGCAACACAAACAGTTTTGTGGTAACAGACAAAGATAGCGCATTACGTAACGGTAAATATAGACGAGGATTCAATGATTTTGCTGTAGTGTAAAAATCATACAATATTTTTTCAATGTGAGTAATAGATACGGATAGCGTATTACATAACGATAGAACTTTTTCTGTAGTATTTTGTGAAAAAAGTGAGCAGTACTTCTTTTACGTTACGATAAGATGAACAGAACGAAAAGTATCTCTGAACTGGAGAAAACAGTGAAACTGATCACGAAGACACGCGCGTCGATTCGTTAGAAGCACAGAGCATTGAAGATTGGCATAATGGAGAATGAGATTGTTCTAAAACAATTAAAACCTATTATCGAGCCGTTTAAACAAATTGGAAATACTGAACGTGGAGGTAAACCATTTGAAACTAAATTTATGGAGAATAAGCAAAAGAATAAACGTGAGTACAGCGATGATGAGGATGATGATGATGACAACGACGACAACGATGATAATGATGCAATTCCAACACAAATTACTCCCCAGCGTCTTCTATGGAATACAAATAAAAAAGAAACGATCAAACGTCATGCCTGATTCGTCCATAATTCATTCCACACCAAAAGAATCACAACAACAACAACAACAACCACAACAACAACCACAACAACAACAACAACAACGACGACAACAACAACAACAAGTAACTCCTTTTGATTTTCAAAACGAAAAAGTTTTTAAAATCGGTGATGATCCATCGCTTGAAAC